TCCCTGCTCCCAGGGCCCTGCAGAATTCCTGAGGGCAGTCGGTACCTGGCAGGTCCTGTACCAGGCGCATGGGTTTGGGGGAGCTGGGCTGGTTCTGGTTGGAGGTGCCAGGTGAGTGACTCATGAGAGACGCTTCCTCCGCAGGGCTTCTGTGATTCTCATTGGCCATTTCTCAGCAACCACTCTAGAAAAAACGGACATAACACCCAGAATTATAGAAGGAATGATCCCAGATCCACTCGACTGCAGCACTACAAGTTCATTCTGACAATAAAACAGGGATTGAGCCAGTACACACAAACAGCACCTGAGCCCTGAAAAGCACCTGTTACCCTGGACACAACCAGTTATGAGGAATGCTGAGTGTTAAACGGGGCCAGCCAGGGTGTTCTTCAGGCCAGCATTCAAAATATTCACTTTTCATCTAGGTCCTCCTAAGAGTGGAGCATCAGGACTGAGAGTTTAAAAAAATAACACACACTCCTCTGTGATTATGAGCCACCTTCTGCCATGCCAATACCACCGGCCATGTCTGATCTGTTACCCTCAGAGACAGTTTAAATCAACACTCACCCACACATAACTGCACATCATTTAAACAAAAGGCTTTAATTAAAAAAAAGTTCTGCTACATAAAATAGCCCTGGAGCTTCACTAACAACTTCTGTGGTTCAGAGAACCGCAGGCTGGGCGTTGGGACCTCCCAAATTATTTTCCTCCATATGTCCCAGGCCCACAGTAACTGCTCGGCCTCAGCCAGACTGTTTTGGCCCTTGGTGCTTTTTCATCTGCATGACAACAGTTATGCAAAAGAAGGTCTGTTGGAACAATAAAGCTCCTCTTAATCATAATCTAATGTTGCCAGCTGGAGAGAAACAGCCAGGCTTTTCCTCTCTTAGTCACCACTCTTCCCCCGGGGAAGTTTCTGAAACAGCTCCGCAGATTGCTCCTCTCTGGCATCCCGAACACACTGGCAATGAACTAGGGGGGAAACAAGGCATTTTACGTAATTCCCAGCTACCTCGGATACCAAACTGTATTCAGGCCTTGGAGACACCCGACAGGACACACCAGTACAGTCAGGGTAGCAGTAAAACAGTGCTGTGCACAGCGGGCTCTTCACCGGAGCACGGCAGTAGCCGGCACCAGGAGCCGCTTATGGCATCTCTTCAGTAAAAGCTCTGGATTTTTGTGGGCTAAATCACTCGGATTTAATCACCTTTGCTGCCTTTCCTGTGCATAAAGCCCACAAGCTACTTCAGCAGAGCAGAATGGCAGCAGGCAGCAGCTATCGTAGCTCCACTGCCCACGGCACTGGCTGTGGAATCAGAGTTGAGGAACTCAACCCTTTCAGCCCCTCAGATGCTTCTTTTCCATCCTTCCAGGCAGGGGATGCAAGGAAAGGTGTGGGACACTGCAGAGCCTGGCTCTCTGCTGAGGAGCGGGCAGGTGACAGTCCCTGTGCCTTCTGCAGAGCACACGATGCAATCACCAGGCCTTTAACGGCCTCAGCAGGTGAACGTTGCACAATTTCACACTGAACTCCAACCCCGCTGTGCCCTCACAGTCACTTCACAAAGGTGCCAAGGTGAGCCAGGCCAGTGGCAGAGCAGTCAGGGTGGCAGTGCAGTCAGGGTGGCAGCCTGACTCCTGTCAAGGTAACAGGACCTACAGGGACCCCAAGCTGGAGGCACCACAAGGCAGGAGCCTCACCCAAACCCCTGAAGGATGTTTAGCCCCTCCTTCTCCTACTCAAACTAAAACCACACGTGCACAGGCACCTGCTGCTGTGTCCTGCACGTCTCACAGAGCACAAACCGCAGTGAACTGGTCTGTACTGGGGGCACCAGGGCTCCCAGAGTGATGGAGATCAATACACAGACGGCGCTGGGCACCGAGCCCTGCCCAGCCCGGATGGCACACGCCAGCTCCAGGGACCTGCCAGTGTTTTTCACCACCCATCGCTCAAAAGAGCTGTCAAATAGGGTCACTGGCTCTGCCTTCTCCCATTTATGGATAAACTGGAATGGTGGAAGTAGCCAAGAAGCTTTATCACTTGATCAGTGTTGACGAGTATTAAATCCAAGTACCCTCAAGGTCTGGGAAAAGGAAACAGCCAAACTAACAGGAATCCTGGCAGAAACAACTCTACTTTTATGTAACTACACTGGGACTTAAGACAGTGACAGGGATCCAGAGGAAGCATTTTGTGGTGATTACGGAATGTTTTTATACACCATGGCAATGCATACAGTGCTTCACAGACACGGTACAACGCTGTCCCTGCCCAGAGAGCTTACAACCTAGAGCAGCAGCACAACCAGAGACCACAGCGAGGGGGAAGGAGACACAGAGTAAAGAAGTACAGCAAACAGGACCGGTATTTGTTTCCATTTCACCGAGGTAGGATTTTGTACAAGGCAACAGCAAATGCAGACAAAGGAGAGCAGCGACAGCCCCTCGGGACACCCCCGCTTCTCCCTCATCCCAGAACCGCGGCTGCTCCAGGAGGCTGGGAGCCAGGCCACCGCCTCCCCCGCCGGTACCATCCCCTTCCCGAGAGCGGGACCGGGGCGCCGGGGACCGGGGCACCGTGTCTGCGCGGGGGAAGCTGCCGGGCAGCTCCCGCGGGCTGCCCTGCCGGCGGCGGAGACGGCACGGAGCTCCTCGGCGCGGCGGGCCGGGACCGGCGGGCGGCCACGGGCGCCCAGCGAGTGCGGAGCGGAGGCGGCGGCGGCGACAACTCTGCAGGCTGGCCGGGAGCGGTCCGGGGGCGCGGCCTAAGCGGGGCGGCGGCCGGCCGGGCGGGTACTTACGGTGGCGGGCTGCCTGGCGGGACGCGTGGCCGTCGCTCCGTGCTCGCCGCTGGCGCGCCGGGGCCGCATCCTCATAGCGGGGCGTCCCGCGCCTGGCCCGCGGGGGCGGCTGCGGAGACAGGAGCCCGTTACGGCGCCGCGGGGAGGGGCCGCGGGGCGCGCAGGCGCGGCGGGGGCGCGGCGGGGGAGAGCGGCGGGAGCCGGCGGCGGCGGCGGCGGCGGCCGCGCTCTAAGATGGCGGCCGCGGGCCTGCGCCGCCTCCCCTCCGCCGCTCGCCCGCCCGCCGCCGCCCGCCCCCGCCGCCTCCTCCTGCACGGCGGGCCGCGGCCTCGCGGTCGCGCCGCTTACCTGGGCGTGAGGCCGGGGGCTGCAGGCACCGGGCACCGCTGCGTCCGCCGCCGCCGCCGCCCCACCTCCGCCTCGCCCGCCCCGCCGCCGCCATCTTGCGCCGGGGCCGCGGGCCGCGGGCGCGGGGAGCATGCGTGGAGCGGAGCCCGCGCTCGGGGGAGCCGCGCGGCGCATGCGCTTCGGGGGAGCGCGGTCGCCCCGCCCGGCCCGCGCCATGTTGGTGGCGGCACCGCCCCGCGGGGGGCGCGGCCGGGCCCGGGCCGGGGCTGGGCTGGGCTGTCCCGGGGCCCCCCGGCCCCGACCGGCCCCTCCCGCCCGCCGCGGGTGCTTCCTGGCACCCACAGGGCGCGGCCGCGGCGGTCGCCACCAAAGGGTCTTTGAAGCGCAGCGGCGCCGGGGCGGGGCCGCGGCCGGGCCGGGGGGGCCGCATTGATGTGCGGGCGCGGCGCTTCCGCCACCCGCCGGGCACAGCGGCCGCTCCTCGGCCCGGGCCGGCCCCGCCACCGCTGCTGGGTCCTGAAGGTCCCGGCGGTCCCTCATGATCCTGGCAGTCCCTCGGGTGCGGCGCTCACGCGTCCCTCCCCACGCCGCTGCCGTGGCCGTTCCCCGTCCCGCAGATCCCGGTGCAGCGCTCGCCGGTGTCGCTGCCTCGCCCCGTGGCCGGTGGCTGATGCTGCTGCGCAGCTTGTGCTGGAGGGTGACACGGGACGGATGAGGGGGACGCGGCTGCCGGGCTGTCCCTGGAGGGCTGCGGGAGCCGAGCCCCCGGTGCACCCACCCTGCAGAGTGTCCGTGCTGCCGATGGCTGGTGCTGGCCCACGGCCCCCGTGGAGAGGGGCAGGAGCAGCTGCGGGGCCATCACCCCCAGCCACAGTCCCTCTTCTGCACTTTCCCTCGGGGGTATCCCCGCTGCCCGGCTTTCCAAGGGGTTTCCCATCTCCCCATCCTACTCGCTCTCCGCGGAGTCCTGCCCTCTGCTCCGGGAGCACCGGGGTCAGTTTAATGAGATAACGCTGGTGCAGCAGTTCTGGAGGGGATAAGTGCTGTGTAAGCACTGAGGCTCCTGCGCTGGGCTCCCTGCAGCCCGGTTCTGCTGCCCAGAGCACCGATAACTGCTCGGGGCGCTAAGGGCCGGCTCAGACCGACCCCCGGGGGCAGAGGGGACTCTGTGGAGGGACAGTGTCCTCGGAGCGAGGCGGCTCAAGTGGCCGAGGGGGTGGTGAGGGCAGGGGCAGCCCCTGGGCATGGCTTGCCCAGGCAAGATTTTTGGGAAGAAGCCCCAGGCTGAGGACAGGCTCGTCCTCCCCGTGACGGGGGTGGAGCAGGACAGTGACAAGACCAGCCAGGGGCACGTCCTGCAAAGCCAGAGCTCTGCCCGGGTGGTCGCAGGAGCCTGGGCAGTGGCTGTGGGGGCAGCACTGAGGGTCCACAGCCTCAGTGAGCAGCTTCTCTGCTCAGGCTCATGTCACACGTGTGCACAAACCAGACCCCGGCAGCACCCCCGGCCTGGGGCCACAGAACCTGTGCTGGAGCTGGGGGACCTCAGCACCGGCAGGGGTTTTATAACCACAGACCCTCCGGGTTCCCGTTTGCACGCGTGCCCCTCGCAGGGGTCACCCCCCTGGGCAGGCCTAGGGCTGTGGCTGCGTGTGCGGGAGATGCGAGGAGCGGTGGTTTTTTGGGGGGAAGGAGGCTGCGTGGCCAGCCTGGAGCCGGGTGACCGAGCGAGCCGCTGTCCTGCCGGTGCTGGCAGCGAGCCGGGCTCGGCGGGACACGGACCTGCATCCTCCCCGTCCGTCTGTCCCGCTGTCTCCTCCCAGCTGTGGGCCAGCAAGGAGTGGCAACTGGGGGATATATAAAGGCAGGAGAACCTCAGCCAGCTCAAAAGAAACTCCTGGAGCTAGTGGTGTTCTCCCCCCTCCTGCCTTCACGTGATTCAGCTTCCCCACGCCGGGAAGCCGAAGAAATCCTCGCTGTAAGTACCCAAACTGAGCCGGCATTGTGCGGGGGAACCCCCCAGCCTCGGGGCAGGACGGTGGCTCCGGGCCCCGGGGACGGGGGTTCAACATCCTCTCCCTTTACAGAACTGGGGAAAACGCTGTGGGGCAGCCCCGTCCGACCCCACAGCCCCGGGGAGAGGGGTCCCCCATCCTCTCCTTTCACAGAACTGGTGGAGAATGCAGTGGGGGAGCCCCGTCCCATCCCACAGCCTTGCAGGGAGCTGTGCCTGTTGCTGTGGGATGGACAGGCTCCAGCTCCCGTCCCAGCCCAGCCTGGAGACAGGCGGCACATCTCGGGAGGGCAGTGAGGACCGTGGGGCGGCCCCGCGGGCGAGGGGTCTCTCCTCCGTGGGGTGCTGGGGCTCCCCGCTGCAGCGGCACGCACGGGGCTGGCGCCCGGCCCAGCGGTTTGAGGAGCGGGCTGTGTTCAGGGCGGGGAGACTGCTGGAGTGGGTGTGCCCAGGGGATGTGGGACCCCCGGGCCCCGCAGGGCCACTGCTGGGGCTTGTGCGCAGCACCCTGAGAAGGGGGCTGTGTCCCTCGTGGGCTCCTAGACTGGGGGGTTCAGGCAAAGGGGACCTGGGCAGTATTGGGTTTTGGGGGAACAGCAGAGCTGTGGGGTGTTCCTTGCAGCCATCCCCTGCTCCGGGCAGGTTGGGCAGCAGCCACCTCCCTCCCAGGGTGACCGGGAGCGCCCTGTGTGGCCCGCGGGCCAGCCCGTGCTGACCCCTGCGCACCCTGCCAGGCCAGCCCGTGCTGACCCTGCTCTCTGCCTCCAGGTGCGAGATGGCTGCCGGCAGCTGCCTCCTCCTCCTCCTCCTGCCCTGGCTGGTCACAGCCTCGCACAGCCCCCCCGGCTGCAAGATCCGGATTACTTCCAAGGGGCTGGACTTGGGTAAGGGGCCGGCCGTGATCCCGGGGCCTGGGAAAGAGGGAAGTTGGACACCTGGCTCCTGGGGTCTGCACTTGTGTTAGGGCTCTGCCTGCACTGCCCACCCGTGGGGTGGCCAGGGAGGAGCAGGGGGCTGGCGGGGGCGATGCTGCCGGGAGGGCAGCGCAGCCCGGCTGTCCCAGCCCAGGCTCGCTCTGCCTTGCAGTGAAGCAGGAGGGGCTGCGCTTCGTGGAGCAGGAGCTGCAGAACATCACGATTTCAGACCTACACGGGAAAGAGGGGCAGTTCCACTACAACATCAGCCAGTGAGTGCTGCCCGTGCCCACGACTCCCTGGGTCCATCTGTCTGTCTGACTGTCCCTGTCCCCTCCCTGCAGGGTCAGGGTGACGGATCTGCATCTGGCGTCTTCAGACCTGAACTTCCAGCCCCAGCAGCACCTCGTCTTCAACATCAACAATGCTTCCATCAGCCTGCGCTTCCGCAGGCAGCTGCTCTACTGGTTCTTGTGAGCTGCCTCCCCTCCTGCTGCCCGGGCACCAGCCCACCCCACAGCTGTGCCCGCTGGGTGCCACGGGTGCCTCGCTGCCCTGCAGGTGGCAGGAGCTGTGTGCTTCTCTCATCCGCTTCCCTGGCTTCCAGCTACGACATCGGGTCCATCAACGCCTCTGCGGACGGTGTCCACATCTACACGGTGCTGCGGCTGGCCAAGGACGAGGCTGGGCGCCCCAAGATCTCCAACATCACCTGCAACGCCTCCATTGCCAGAATGCACGCCGGCTTCTCCGGCACACTCAGGTACACCCGACCCCTGTGCCCGGCTCCCTGACCTCCTTCCTGGGGTGCTTCCCCAGCCCAGCTGTGTTCTGGAATGGGGACGGAGCCGCAGGGAGGGCAGGCAGTGCAGAGCTGCTCTCGTGTCCTGCAGGAAGGTCTATGAGTTCCTGAGCACCTTCATCATCACAGGGATGCGCTACCTCCTCAGCCAGCAGGTAGGGCTGAGCGCAGACAGGTGATGGAGCCTGGGGGAGCCAGGCCTTGCCCTGCCTGTGTAGCTTCTCATCCAGTCCTGGGAGCGATTCCCCTCAGCCCAGCTCCTTGCTTTGCAGATCTGCCCGTCCCTGGAGCACGCCAGCCTGGTGCTGCTGAACTCCTTGCTGGACACGGTGCCCGGTGAGTGTTGCCCTGGGACAGGGACTGGATCCTGCTCGCCCTGGGGCAGGCAGGGTTGGGCATCGGGCTGCTGGGCAGCTCTAGGCTTGGTCACGCCAGCACATCTTCCCTGGCAGTGAGGAACTATGTGGACGAGCACATCGGGATTGACTACTCCCTCCTGCGGGATCCATCCATCTCCAGTGACAACCTTGACCTCGACTTCAAGGTGAACACTGGATCCTGCCCTGCTGATCTTTCCCATCTCTGTGGGAGTGGGCTGGGCACGATGGGCTCCACGGAGCAAGCGGGGTGTGCTTCCCCATGGTTGTGGGAACCTCTCCTGCTCTTGGCCCAGGGCATGTTCTTCCCCCGGGTGAGAGAGGACCAGGAGCTGGAGAACCACGCAGTGGAGCCGGTGATCAAGGAGACTGAACGCATGGTCTACGTTGCCTTCTCCGAGTACTTCTTCGACTCGGCCATGCTCTCGTACTTCCAGGCGGGAGTGCTGAACATCGAGCTCCAGGGGGAGAAGGTAAGGAGCGCCAGACACTTGGCCATGCACAGGCAGGAGGGAGGGCTGGGCTGTGCCACGGAGCAGAAGAGGTGCAGTTCAGGGAGCGGCTCTGCTGGGACCCACAGCAGCACCTCGCTTCCCCCATGGTGGTCTGTTCTCCCCACAGGTGCCCAAGGACCTGGAGGTTTTGCTGAGAGCCACCTTCTTCGGGACCATCTTCATGCTGGTGAGGAGCCCCCGGATGGGGTGGGAGGCACAGGAGAGCCTGGGGGCAGAGCACAGCCCTGCCCTGCTCCCTGCCTCCAGCTCACCTGCCCTCCCCAGAGCCCCTCCGTGGATGCTCCGCTGCAGCTGGTGCTGCAGGTCTCGGCTCCTCCCCGCTGCATCATCAAACCCTCGGGCACCTCCGTCTCTGTCTCTGCCTTCCTGAACATCTCACTGGTGCCCCCGGACCGCCCGCCCGTCCAGCTCTCCAGCATGGCCATGGTGAGGGGGAGGCCAGGGCTCTTTGTGAGGCCACTGTGCTGCACACAGGAGCATCTGGCCATCCTGTGTGGGAAGGCACCGGTGTCCTAGAGAGGGACACTGGGCCAGTGGGGTGAGAGGAGCTGCTGGCCTGGCCTGGCTGTCCCTCTGCCTGCTGCGAGTCAGCCCTCTTTCTCCCCAGGAAACCAAGCTGAGTGCCAAGGTGTTTCTGCAAGGGAAGGCACTGCGCGTGCAGCTGGACCTGCGACGGTACGTCTGGGGTCCCGTGGGGGCACGGGGAGAGTCCTATCTGCACCCCACTCACGGCTGCTTCCTCCCCTCCAGGTTTCGCATCTACTCCAAGCAGTCAGCGCTGGAGTCGCTGGCGGTGAGCGCATGGTGATGGCCTGGGGACCCTTCCACCCAGCCACAGAGTAGGGTGGGCTGGGGAGGTGCTGCCCACCCAGGACTCCCACTTGCAGTCCTCCCCGCCCTGGCTGGCAGCTCTGCCTCTGCACTGACCCCAGCTCTTCTCCCACAGCTGTTCTCCCTGCAGGCCCCGCTGAAGACCCTCCTGCAGCTGACCATCATGCCCATCATCAACGGTAGGCACCTCTGCTCCTGTGCAGCTTGGGTTGGGCAGGGGCTCAGCAGGGCTCAGTCTCACTCATCCTATGTCTCCCTCCCTGTAGAGAGGACAAAGAAGGGAGTGCAGATTCCCCTGCCCGAAGGCATGGACTTCACCAGGGAGGTGGTCACCAACCACGCGGTACGTGGCGGGATGAGACAGTCCAGGCCCCCACACTCTGCTGGGCAAGGCACCATCACCTCCATCTTCACACTGACCCTCTTCCCCCCGCAGGGATTCCTCACAGTGGGAGCTGATCTCCACTTCTCCAAGGGGCTGCGTGAGGTGATTGACAAATACCGCCCTGTGCCCACTGCCGCTGCCTATCCCAGCTCCCAGCCCGCAGAGCCCACAGAGCCCAGCCTGGACCCCAGCTCACTGTAGCTCTTCTCCCCGGACCAAGGGCAGATCCTGGGCTGGACCCATAGACTGTAGGTAGGAAGCAGCTTCCCTGGTTACCACTGGCACGTCCTCAGGGTGCCCATGCCCTGGAGGGGTGCAGCAAGGTGGAGAGGGACGCTCTGGGAAACCCTGCTGCACCCATTCTTGTTACACTAATAAACCACTCGCCTCCAAATGTACGGCCCTGTTGTCTGGAGGATGTGCCTATGCGGGGCGCACGGCACGGAGGTGGGAAGGAGGCAGCCAGCACTGCTGCCCAGCTCTGGTCCTTGGGAGAAAACAGAGCTGAGAGTAGTGCCAGAGGGCTCAGAGTGACTGTACTGCTGCTGCTCAGGCAGGTCACTTGTTTCCAGGCTGCAGGGACCCTGCCGAGGGGGCAACGCCCAGAGCTCCCTGGCACAGGGCATTGGCACTCACTGGTGCTCCTCAGCAGAGGAAAGCAAAGCAGGGGCTGGCACAGGGGTGCGAGGAGGAGCAGAACCACCTTGGTCAGAGAGTTTATTGCAAGTTCCTGCACTGTGTGCCCTGGCAGTGGGATTATCGTGGTGGTGGTTAAGCCTCCTTCAGTGGGAGCAGGGTGGAAGGAGCAGGGCCCCTGCTGCTGCTCCTCAGAGCCCGCCCAAGCCCCGTGTGTGCAGGGCCCAGGGGAAGTGCCAGGACTGCTCCCTGCCTGCGAGGGTAGCAGCTGCTGCTACAGACAGGGAGGAGGCAAGACAGAAAGCCACAAGCGAGGCGGCGGCTGCAGCAGGTACATGACTCCTCTCCCATCGAGGACAGAGCCCTCAGGACTCAATCCCATGCCCCCCACCCACAGCAGGCAGCCCTGTCTGGCTGGGAGGAAGGCTGCAGGTGTGACAGGTGTGTGGTGTAGCCGAGCAGCAGCGAGGACTGGGCTGTGCGAGGTGCCGGCAGTGAGGGCAGTGGGGTGGGCAGGGCAGTCCCCACAGTTCCTAGTAAGGCTGGTTCTTAATGAAGCGGCAGAACATGGTGAAGGCAGCGAGCGGCCGGTCCGTGGGCACCATGTGGCCAGCTCCCTGCAGGAAAAGGGCAGCAGTGGTCAGCATGGCCGTGGTGCTGCCACAGCCTAGCCAGCACCACCCCACCCTGACCACAGCCTTGGTGGCCGGCACACCCACCTGCAGCCCTGTCCCTGGCCCCCAGAATCCTCAGCCCTACCTTGACAGTGAGGAAGGCGATGTTGGCGAATTCCTTCACAAAGCCCCCGATCTGGTTCTCACCATTTTCAGTGTAGAGCCAGGGCCGTCGAGCCACCTGCACCTGGGAGCGATGGCAACGCCCTCAGTGCCTGGGGCCGGCCCTGCCCACGCTCCCACCGCAGCCAGCCCCAGCACACAGCCTGGAGCCAGGGCCTGGCCTGGCCTGTGCCCAGCCCAGTTACCTTCTGGCACAGGGAGTCCACAAACCACTCATCCCCGAGGAAGTTGCAGGCCATGTCCACGTCCCCGTTGTACACCAGGATCCGGTATTTCTGCAGAGCAGACAGAGGGGGTGAGCCCTCAGCCAGGACACCAACCCCAGCCGGGCAGGAGGCTGGGCTGGCAGAGCCACTCCCAGGGTCCGTAGGCTCCCCCGCACGCACCGTGGTCCCGAGCAGCTTCAGGTACTGCTCGTTCATCTGCATGTACAGGCGCTTGTAGTTGCGGTTCACGTCGAAGCTGCGGAGGAAGTGTCGGCATCATGCAGCTGCTCCTGCTCGGGGTGCTCCCTGCCCGCCCACAGCTCTCTCACCTGCACACCTCCCACTCCGGGGCCTCGGGGGAGATATGCAGAGCCTTCCGCACCTCCGGGGAGTTCAGATACATGCTGGGGGCTGTGGAGTTGGTGCAGGGCGGGTCCATACGGACCTTCTTCCGGGCGACTGGCATTCGGAACAGGTTCTGGGAGAGGCAGGAGAGTCATTGTCACAGCAGCACCACTGAGCAGGCACGGGCTGCTCTCAGCCCGGCAGCACAGGCACCTCGGCTCACCTGCCGCCAGGAGAACCTCAGTGGCATCCGGATGAAGGAGTTGCCCAGGTCGTGCGTGATGAGATAATCACCCTCGTACCTGTAGCCAGGATGAGCACGAGGACAGGCTGAAAGCCCTGGGGAAACAAGGGCTCAGGGCCCTCCTTGAGGAAGTCCTTGGCAGAAGCCAGACACCATCCACCTGTCCCAGAAGGACCCCTTGCCCAGCCCACCACGTCCTTCTGCCAGCGGGACCAAAGTGAGCCGGTGCCTGTAGGCCCATTTTCCCTGGGGCTGCTCTCACCTCATGCTCCCAGGGACGCCTCCATCACACGGGGCATAGAGGTTGTAGATATTGAGGCCAGACTCCTCTACAATCTGAATCATCTCCCCCATCTGCAAGGAGCCACAAGAAGGGCTTGGGACTCAGCAAGACCCTCTTGGGATCGTGGGCCCACCCAGAGCCAGGTGGGTGCTGCTCACAGACACTGACACTGGGCACGTGTACAGGGGCTCCGCCTCCCCTCACCTTGAGCGTGCAGTTCAGGTTGGAGTTGTCATGGAAGTTGCACTTCCCCTCGGAGCAGCAGAAGGCCTGGAGGTCCTTCCACAGCCTGTGGGGAGAGACCAGGGCTTGGACTGCACTGCCCAGGCAGCAACACCACCAGCCCGAGCCCTGACCATGCCCCACTCCTGCTCGCACAGGGATGGCACACCGAGCACTCCCCCTGCTCTTACTCGGTCCCCAGCAGCCCGTGGTAATAGGCAAAGTAAACCAGGGAGTTGTCATTGATCTCATAAGATGAGAGGCCGTTTCCCACAGCGATTCCCTGCGGGGCAAGAAGAAAACAACCCTGTTGTGTTCCAGCTCCCCTGCGGGGCGGCTGCAGCACAGCGGCCCCAGGCAGGAAGCAGATGTGGCACTGTTTACTCTGCAGAGGGAACAGGGAGGGTCGGGGGTGCCTGAGGACGCTTCCCCGGCAGCAGGGATGGACACGTCCACCGGCAGCCGCTGCCAGCACCCCAGGAGGAGATGAAAGGCTGCAGGGCCAGGCCCGCCCTATGTCCTGGAGGGGGCCCTGCACGCTGAATGCACGGCCAGTCCCCACCCTGGCACTGGCTCAAGGGCCCCAGCGAGGCTGGGCCGAGCCCTCTGCTCCCCAGCAGAGCCCAGCACCCACCTTCAAGTTGAGACTGGGGTCCTGCATCACCCACTCTGCCAGTGTGGGGATGTAGACCCCCCCATAGCTCTCCCCTGTGAGGAAGAGATCATTCTTGGAGTACTCAGGGAACAGGCGGAGGAAATCCTTCAGCGCCAGGTAGTTGTTGTGAGCAACCTGCGGGGAGGAGGTGGCAGGGTCAGGTGGTGAGGCTGGACCCCAGCCAGGGGGCAGATGGGGTCAGGGCCTTCCCAGCACGCTGGTCACTCGCCTCTGTGTCGTTTGTGCCGTACTTCTTGTCATCGGAGTACGAGAAGCCGACGCCAGCGGGAGACTCCAGGTAGAGGATGTTGGCAATCTGCGAGGACAGCAGAGGAGCCGGCGATCAGGGGACACCCTCCTCTGGCTCAGCGAGGCCGAGGGCTGCTGGCCTCGCCCACGGCAGCACCCACGGGTGCCCGGCCCGCCCCAGGGCTGTGCTGGGGTGGCCACATTCCTGTGCTGCTCAGCAGACTGGAGAAGAGGGTGTGTTGGGCGGGGGGGAGCGGCAGGAGGTTTGGCTCCGTGGAGAGGGCAGGAGGAACTGGCTCAGGGCCACCCCATCCGGCAGCCACAGAGGGCGGCAGTGCCTGCGCCCGTACCTTGTTCCAGGCGTACTCGTTGTACTTCAGCGTGACCCCATCGGGCTGGATCTGGGGAAGCAGAAGGCGGTGACCGACGGGCTGAGCCGGGCTGGGGACAGCACGATGGCTCATGCCACACAGCTGGTCATTCCCTGCACCCCCCAGCCACAGGATGGCAGTGACTACTAACCAGGAAGGGGCCATGCTCCTTGAGGAAGCCTTCCATGGAACTGCAGCCGGGACCCCCATTCAGCCACAGCACCAGGGGGCTGCCCTGGGGGTTGCTCTGGGCCTCCACGAACCTGCGGACGCACAGCACGTCAGTGCCCGGTGCCAGCCGATGCCCTCCCAGCGCCAGGCGCAGCCCCACGTACCAGTAGTGCAGGTGCTTGCCCGGCCCGGCGCACAGGTAGCCCGAGAAGTGGCGGAAGGAGGGCTGCTTGTGCAGCCCGGGCAGGTACGTCACCTCGTGTCCCGGCGGGGCGGCCCGGCCCAGCCCCAGCAGCAGCAGCATCAGCGACGACGACAGCAGCAGCGGCCCCATCTGCGCCGGGCGGGAGGCACGGTCAGGGCGCTGCCGGCCGCGAACGGCCGCGCCCCGCGAGCGCCCCGGCACGGCTGCCCCGGCCCTGACCCCCGTGCGGGGCTGCCCCCCGTGCCCGGCCCGCTCCCCCGGCGCCGGGGCCGTGTCCCCGCTCCCCCCGTGCCCGCTCCGCCGTGCCCGCTGACCGCGGCCGCTCCCGGCGCAGGTTCCGCTCCCGCCGGGCACATGACACGCGCCCATATGACCTGCGCTGCTCACGTGCGCGGGGCGGGGCCCGCCCGCGGCCAATCAGCGCCCCGGGGGGCGGGCGGCCCGGCCCCGCCCCCGCCCGCGCACGTGGGACCGGGACCGGGACCGGGACCGGGGGACAGCGGGGTAATTGGGGTGGGACTCCCGCACTACACAGCCGGGCACCACCGGTTGCAGCCGGGTGTCACCCAGTACTGCTGGGTACCGGGCATTGCTGGGTACGGCCGGTACCGCTGGGTACCACCGGACACAGCTGGGCGCCACCGGGCATCACCAGGCACCGCCAGGCATCTCCGTGTACAGGCAGCACCACCGAGCACTGCTGGGTATAACTGGTACCGCTGGGCACCACCAGACACTACTGGGTACAGCTGGGCACCACCAGGCACTGCCAGGCATCACTGGGTACAGCCATGTACAGCCAGCACCACCAGTCCCTGCCGGGCATCACAGGCACAGCCAGTCATCTCCATGTACAGGCAGCACCAGGCAGGCACTGTGTGAAGTCTCTGTGTGTCCGGATTGGGCCCAGTTGTGCCCCAGCAGCAGCAGGGTCCCCCCACTGCCTCCCCTGTGGCATTAGGATCCCTCTGAGCCCTCTGGTTGTCCCTTCCAGACAGGCTGTCACCACCTCACAGCAGCTGTGACAGGGACAGCTAAAAATAGCATCGGCAGCGATGGCTGCCCGGTGCCGGCTCGCCGCACGCTTCCACCACGTCCACGGCACCAACGTCCGCCTGGACGCCTCGCGCACGCTGGCCACGCGGGTGGAGAGCTTCGCCAATGGGCTCTGCTTCAGCCAGGAGCCGCTGGCGCCAGGGCAGATCTTCCTGGTGGAGATCGAGGAGAAGGAGCTGGGCTGGTGCGGGCACCTGCGCGTGGGGCTGACAGCCCTCGACCCCCAGAGCCTGGAGGTGGTGCCTGAGTACTCTCTGCCGGACCTGGTCAATATGGGGGACACCTGGGTGTTCGCCATCACCCGGAGCCACAACCGCGTGCTGGTGGACGGGGAGGAGGTGCGGGCGCGGAGCCCGCCCTGGGAGCCCTTCCTGCTGATCGAGCGGGTGCGGATCCCCCGCGACACGCTGGTGGGGCGCAGCCGGCCCGGCCGCTACAGCCACATCCTGGACGACCTGTACAGGACGAACGTGCTGCCCGCGACCGCCCGGCGCAGCCGCATCGGGGTGCTGTACGCGCCGCAGCCCGACGGCACCGCCGACATGCACATCGTCATCAACGGCGAGGACATGGGCCCGAGCGCCAGGGGCCTGCCCACCGCCCGCCCGCTCTACGCCGTCGTTGATGTCTTCGCCTCCACCAAGAGCGTCCGGGTGATCCCAGTGGATTATGGCTGTAGGTACCTGCCCCCGTCCCTGCAGCACGTGCAGCATGGGCCAGGAGCAGGGGGACTCTGGCAGGGTCACCCTGTGGTCCCCAACAGTGGGAATATCAGAGCGTGACTCTGGGCAGAGGGACATGGGATACAGGGCACAGGAGAGCCCGTGGCTCCTGTAGACCCACAGTGCCGCTGATGGGCAGTGTCTGCTGAAATCTCTGCTGTGGGGGCTGTGCTGGGCCCAGGGGGAGAGCCCCCCCTGCAGCAGACCCGCTGGGCAGCCTTCCTGAGCCGGGCGACGAGGGTGGGTGTTTGGGGCTGCCCCAGGGCTGTGAGGATTCGCCGTGCCCAGCCTCACCCACACCATGCGGCAGCCGGAGCCACCCGACGTCCTGCCCATCACCAAAACACCCACCTACGCCCACCGCCCACCCTGGTACAGCACGCTGCACCCCCGCGCCTGCCACGTGCCCAGGACACGGCGTTCCCTGGGCAGACATCCCATGATGCCAGCAGAGCCTGGGCATTATCCTGTGTCCCTTGGCTGGATGGGAGGGGCCAGGCTAACGAGGGCTAATTAGCGCTGGAAAAATCAGCAGATGCTGAGGATGAGGTGAGACTGAGCAAGAAGGAGAGCGAGCATCAGGGTACCAGCTCCCACCACAGGGAGCCACTGCTTCACTCACTGGTGCCAAGGGCAGCTGCTTCTGTCCCAAGGCTGGGATTCTCCATGGTTTAACACCTGAGGAAAGCGTTGGCCACAGCACCTGTGCTGCGGAGCCACCTGAGGCTCTGGGAGGAGGAATCCCACAGGGTGTTGTGTCACAGGAGCAGAGCCAGGCAGAGCCTGGGCAGGCACCCAGGGGAATGGCTGATGGTGGTCTGTCCCAAAAGCACAGTGGGCACTGTCTGTGCAGGCAGCGCAGCCCTGGCCGGTGGGTATCCACCCGCCAGCCTGGTGCTGGTGCCAGTGGAAGCAGATCAAGGGAGTGGGATGTAAGGGAAGCACACTGTGGGCACATGAGACCCTGGGGAGCTGCTCAAGAGGCGCCAGAGAAAGAAATGCAAACAAGCCCCGGTCATGCATAGCTTGGGCGCATAACTGTTTCTCAGCCTTCCTCCTATTAATGGATAGAGCTTTGCTGCCTGGGGCCCTTAAGCTCCCAGCCCTGGGGCAGCAGCCTGGCACCAGGTCCTGCACAGCCAGCTCGAGCCTGGGGCAGGATGATGCTGCAAAACAAAGTCACCCTATCACTGCCCTTAAACCCAGTGCCTCTGAGGAGCCCCAGGCAAGCTCCTACACCCCTCTGTGCTCAGCCTCACCACTGGCTCGCCCAGCTCAGTTGCTCTCTCCGTTCTCTTCCAGTTCCCTCCCTGCAGACGCTGTGCCGGGTGGTCATCCAGAAGCACATCGTGCACCGCCTGGCCATTGAGGGCCTGGACCTGCCCCCACTGCTCAAGAACTTCTGCCAACGTGAGTGAGGTGTTGAGGGCACTGCTGGGCTGCCCCCACTGCCAACAGCACCCCGGTGTTGGCTGCCTGGTAGGATCCATGCCCCTTGTGGCCCCCTCGCCCCGGTACGTGCTGCCAAAGGGCCAACCTGAGAACAGGCAGCGTGGTGTTGGGATTTTCCACACAGGGACAGTGCTGCAGGGCCAGAGTGTGAACAGGGAGCTGATGTGGTTCAGAGAGAGCAATAAAACACTTCCAGACAAGAGTCTGTCAAAGGAGGTTGGGGGGCTGAGACCTCCCATGGTTCAGCAGCCACTCGTGGGAGCAGTTCCCCGGCAGCAAGGAAAGAAGCACGGGCCACACACAGCCCTGTGGGGCTCAGGAATGATGCTGGGATTGCCTGGGTGGATCAGAGCGAGTGCTGGGGTGGGTGGAGCGTGGGAGGGCATTCACGTGGAGGTAAATTACAGCCAGACGCTCGTCCTGGCCGGGCAGTTTCACTCTTGGGAAATATGTTTACACGGAGAGCGATGAGTTATTTCCTGTGTGCTCAGCTGGGAGGGGGACGGGGGCGGACGTCGGAGCACCCAGAGAGCAGCGCTGGCAGCAGCCCTTGCTTGGGCACGTGCCTGTGGCCACAGAGCCAGACACGGTGACCCTGTGCAGGGCCCAGCCATCCTGCCTGGGGAGGGGAGCCCAGCACTCCTCTGTGCCCTCAGCCAAACCCTTCATCCCCTGGCCGGTGGGGATGGCAACCAGGATCCAGCAGCACCCGTGCTGGGCTGGAGAGGGGAGGCAGGGCAGGTAAGAGTTGTGCAGAGCAACAGGGTGGGGAAGAGCCTTCCAAAAACCAGAGGGGTACCCACAGGTGCCAGAGAGACGGTGAGGGGGCTGGTGGAGCCTTCCAGGCCTCTTCCACAACACGGCCAAGGGGGGCAACAAGCAGCTCCCAGCTTACAAGAAAGGTGTTTTAGGAAACACGATGCTATATTTAGTTAGAGACTCGATAGTATCAGATCATGTTACAAAACTCTGGCTCAAAGGAAATCCCCAGCCTGCAGTGACTGCCGACTCCATCAACACCAAAGTGTTAATGAAGGGAGTGCTGATAGGGGAAAAATGGATTGTGGCCAAACCATAGCAATGGGAGTGAGGTCTCTGACATTCCCTGCCATGTCCCACCAGCAGGCTGGGAGCTGCTGGAGCTGCCCTGGCTGTAAGGGGGCCGGGGAGCTCACCCACCCCAGAGCAGCACCCGTGGGCCAGGCGTTTTCTCTCCGGGCTGTTTTCCCTCCCCCTCCCGTGTGTGAAGCCTTTGCTCCCCCACCTCCCCCCGGCGTAATCTGCCCGATAGTGACCCCTGCACACGAGGGTGGGTTCCTCTTTCTTGAGGAATTGAGAGCAGCTGCTGAAAACAGATAAACCACTCCCCTTCTGTGAAGTGGGGCTGCAGCGCAGTGGGGCTGTCACCCTCAGGAGCTGCCACCTCCCACCACCTGGGGCACTCTGGTGGCACAGGACCACCAAGCAGCACTGCCCAAAACCCTGCCCGACCCCCAGCACTCCATCCTCTGGGCAGGGAGGGGCATCTGCAGCTGGTGCAGGGACAGAGGCAGCTCCCAAGCAGCACAAGGCTGATTTATTGGCTCTGTTGCACAACACCCCGCAGCTGGATGGTGCAAGGACCTGTGGGCGCTGGCCACAGATGAAATAATTTTGTCACATGTTGTTATGGGGCCAGATGGGATTCATCTGAGAATCCTCAAAGAACTAGCTGATGTCATTGCAAAGCCTCTCTCGATGGTTTCTGAGCAGTCCTGGAAATCTGGAGAGGTCTCAGCTGACTGGAAGCTGGCGAACGTTATCCCGATTTTTAAGAAGGGCAAAAAGGAGGACCCCAGAAGCTACAGGCCTGTCAGGCTCACTTCAGTACCTGGTAAAATCATAGAAAAGATTATTTTGGGAGGTCCTAAAAAACACCTGGTGTTTTTGACATTGTTGTTGACATTGGCTACAGCCAGCATGGCTTCGGAGGGGGAAGTCCTGCTTGTTGAACCTGATTCCCTTCAACAACAGGGTAACTCACCTAGTTCACCTAGGAAAGCCAGTAGATATAGTCTTTTTGGACTTCAGCAAAGCTTTTGATACTGTCTCTCACAGGATACTTCTGGACAAAATGTCCAGCCCACAGCTGGATAACCGTATTATGGGATGGGTGAGCAACTTGTTCACAGGTCAGGCACAAACGGTTGTAGTGATTGACATCAGATTGCTATCTGGTCACTAGTTCTGCAGGGTTCCATCCTTGGCCCAGTTCTCTTCAACATCTCCATTAATGCCTTGGACATGGGACTGGAAGGAATACTAAGTAAATTTGCCGATGACACCAAATTGGGAGGAGCTGTTTACTCCTTCCAGGGCAGGGAGGCCCTGCAGAGAGACCTCGACAAATCAGAGATGGGCAATCACCAGCTAAATGAAGTTTAACAAGGGCAAGCGCCAGATTCTGCACCTGAGATGGGGCAACCCTGGCTGTGTGTATAGAGTGGGAAACAAGAGGCTGGAGAACAGCGCTCTGGGAAGGGACCTGGGGGTCCTGCTCGATGGCAAGTTGAATATGAGTCAACAGTGCCCTGGCAGACAGGAGGGCCAATTCTGTCCTGGGGTGCATAAGGCAAAGCACTGGCAGCCACTCAAAGGAGGTGACTGTCCTGCTCTGCTTGTCCTGCTCTAATCTGCACTGGTGCAGCCTCACCTTGAGTCCTGTGTGCAGTTTTGGGCACCACAATATAAAAAAGAGACTAAGCTACTAGAGAGCATCCAAAGGAGGGCCATGAGGATGGCAAAGGGTCTGGAGGGGGAAGCCTTATGAGGAGTGGCTGAGGGAACTTGGTTTGTTCAACCTGGAGAAATGGAGGTTAAGGGGAGACCTCACTGTGGTCCTCAATATCCTCACGAGGGGAAGCAGAGAGGCAAGTACCGATCTCTTCACTCTCGTGACCAGTGACAGGGCTCAAGGAAAACAACATGGAGCTGAGTCAGGGGAGGTTGAGGTTGGATATCGGCAAAAGGCTTTTCACCCAGAGGGTTGTTGAGCACTGGAACAGGCTCCCTAGGGAAGTGGTCACAGTACCAAGCCTGAGTTCAGGAAGCATTTGGACAACGCTCTCAGACACACGGTGTGACTCTTGGGGTGTTCTGCGCAGGACCAGGAGTTGGACTCAACGATCCTGATGAGTCCCTTCCAACTCAGCATATTCTATGGTTCTATTATACCAGTACCTCCCACGCCACACCACCCACAGCTGGCTCCTGGCCACAGCTGTTAGCCAGGTCAGCAGCTGTCACCCTTCCCACGGGATCAGGAGCTCCCAATCCAGTCCCTCTACTGCCCTGTGAAAGAGGTGATGCCCACTCAGCAGATCAAGGACCCAAACTGCCCCTTCCATGCCAAGGAAGTGGCAGCCTGAGGGGAATGAAGGTGAAAGCCAGGACATGAGGGGAGCACCCAGCTCAGCTCCCGCTCGGTGCTAGAGCTTCACCTCTGATCTCCACCATAAGGAGGGACACCACCTGGGATTTATCCAAAGATTTGTTCCAGGAGCTCTTCAGGACCTCCAGGAGGTCATCAGCACTGTCTCACCCGACCTGATGGGCATCACATCCCCTCTCCCACAGTCTACTGAGCATCTCTTGCTGCGAGGGCTTCCTGTTTGAATGCAGCACAGCCAAGATGTGCTGGCAGGGCAGCTGGAAGGCCTGGCTGAAGTGGCAAGTGCAGCTGCTCAGGCCTTTCAGGTCCACCCTGTGGGCATCCTCCAGGATCTGTATGCTGAGCAATGGCGCGTCCTTCCTGGTGCCAATGAGCTGCGTGGACTTCTGAACCGTGGCCAGCTCACTCAGGCACAGCCTGGCAGAAGGATCTGTGCAAATGTCACTCAGAGACTGTTTGATGCCTTCTTCAGTCCTTCAGTTAACCTCCTCCCTGCTGTCATCCTCTGGGGTCTCTGTGGCCCCCAGTTTTACTGTAGGAGACGAGGGATATAACAGGGAGTGAGGGGTCATGGGTTCACCCTGGAGGAGAGACTGGGAGGTTTCAGGCTGACACTGAAGAGCCTCAAGGAGCTGGGGAAGTGCTAGTAGACTCTGGAGAACAATCACAGGACTCCTGGCAGCTGCAAAAGAGGCTGACAAGAGCTGCTGCTGAGCTGCTGTCACAGTAGAGGAAGCCTGGCTGGAGCTCTGGGATGTGTTACCCTGGCACACCAGAGAGTGCAAGGGGCAAGCTTTGGGGAGTTCCTGAACAGCACAGTGATCAAGTGGGCCAAGGTGGTGATGCATCTCTCCAGAGGGAACCCACCACTGAAAACCTGGCTTAACCCCTGCATGACAACCTCCATCTCCATGAAGTAGCCGCTGCTCTCCCCTCAGGTGCCCTCCCTGCGCGCAGCCCAGATCCCGTCATCGAGCAGCCGGTGGAGGTGGAGCTGAGGCAGCAAGTCCGGCGTGATGAGGTCCCTTGGGAAGGAGAATAGCTCCAGGCGGTCGCTGTGGTGCTCCAGGTCCAGCTGCTGCAGCCACTTGCAGAGGTGGAACAGGGATGCGCCATCACCAGTCCCTGTCCCGGTCCGTGTCCCGCTCCGCCAGGAGCATCATCGCCGCCGTAGGGCTCGACCCCGCCCGCCGCGGCGGGACCGGAGCGCTCGGGCGCCGCCCGGAGCGGCCGCCGCGCATCGCACCGGGAGCGCACCGCGCATCGCACCGGGAGCGCACCGCTCCTCGGTGTGTCCGGCCCTCCGGCACCGGCTCCTGCCGGGCTGCCTCCCCCGGTGACCGAGCCCAGGTGGCCGCCAGCGCGGAGCTGCGCTCCTTCAGCTGCTCCCCGTCGCTCTCGGGCCCGCTGCCCGCCGAGCCCCCAGCACGGCCCGGGAAGCTGCCCCCAGGGTGATGAGGGGTGCCGGTATCGCCGCTGCCAGCACGGCTCCCTCCGCACGCCCCCCGTGCTCCGGCAGCACGGCCAGGATGTGCCGGTAGGGCAGCTGGGAGCGGCGGGGGCAGTAGCAGGTGCAGCTCCGGCAGTCCTGGCTCACCCAGCGCACATCCTCCGGCTTGCGGGCCCGGCAGCGCTCCCCGAAGTCCTGGAAGCTGCGGGACCGGGCGCTCGGTTCCCCGGCGCGACCCCCGGGACCGCCGTTAACACCGGAGCTCCGCCCACACCCTGATCCTGGCCAATCAGCGCCGTTTTCTCCGGATTGACAGGAGACAATCCAACCAGCACAGAGAACCGTGCAACCGTCCAGGTGACTGACAGCTCTGCTACCCAATCATCTGGCGGTGCGCGCCCCGTGGGCGGGCGGTGCGGCCCGCTCAGCGCGGCGGGCGGAAGTGTCGGCCGTCAGGGCCGCCGGTCGCGGGGGCGATGGAGGCTCCGGGCGGCACCGGCGGGGCCGGCGCGGGGCCGGGGCGGCCGCCGCCGCCTCCCGGGGATCTGCGCAGCGTGCTGATCACCAGCGTGCTGAACCTGGAGCGCCTGGAGCTCGACCTCTTCAGGTGCGCTGCGCGGGGGGCGCCGGGCCGGCGGGACCGGGGCGGCCTGCCCGCACCTGCCGCTCACCGCCGCTCACCGCCGCCGCCTTCTCCCCGCAGGGGCCGGCACCACTGGGTGCCCGCCACGCAGCGCCTCTTCGGCGGGCAGATCGTGGGGCAGGCGCTGGTGGCGGCCGCCCGCGCCGTGAGCCGCGACGAGCAGGTGCACTCGCTGCACTGCTACTTCGTGCGGGCAGGTGCGGAACCGCGGCCCGGGGGGGCTCGGGGAGCCCGCAGGGTGAGCAGGCGCCCCATCCCGACCCCATCCCGGCAGGGAGGGTGCGGGTGGCACCGCCGGGCTCGGCCCCTGCAGGGCAGGTGCCCTCCGTTGCCCGGCGGCAGAACGTCCCTGTGCTGTCCCAGGGGACCCCAAGGTGCCGGTGCTGTACGAGGTGGAGAGGACTCGTACAGGGAAGAGCTTCTCCGTTCGCTCCGTGAAGGCCATCCAGCACGGAAAGCCGATCTTCACCTGCCAGGCGTCCTTCCAGGTCTCCCAGGGGAGCCCAGTGCAGCACCAGTTCACCATGCCCACCGTGCCGCCCCCCGAGGAGCTGCTGACACAGGAGGAGCTCATCCAGAAGTTCCTGCGGTGAGTTGGGCAGAAGGGGCATGTTGGAGATGCCCCTCTTTGCAGCTGGGACAGAGGGAGGTGTGGGGAGGATTGTGGCGACTGCCTGAAGATGCAAACATGCCTGGGAGGGGAGCAGAGGGGCAGGACAGGAGCCATGCCCCTCCTGTCTCTGTGTGCCTCTGGGTCCCTGGGCTGGAGCCAGCAGGACCTGCCCCTGCCTGCCTGGCATTAACCTCATTTCTCCATGCTGGACTGCAGGAATCCTAACCTGGCTGAGAGGTACAGGAAGCATCTCACCAAGATCCAAGCCGAAGATGTGCCGATTGATATTAAACCCGTGAACCCACCGGATATATTCAGCTCAGAGCCACAGGAACCAAAGCAGCTCTTCTGGGTGCGAGCACGAGGCTACATAGGTGGGTCCTGCTGGGAGGGTGGTCCAGGTGCCTCCTGAGCTGAGGGCTCGGGCTCTACCTCACACTGTGGAGCGCTGTCACAACAGAATGGGCTGTAATTTGAGGGCTGCCTGCGCCCCAGCCTGTGGGGAAGCCTGGGCATTTTGAGGCTGAAATGCAGGTGTGGGTGAGGAGCATGAGGTGATGCCCTGAGCTGTGCTGGAGGGCAGGGGGAGCTGGTCTGGAAGAATCTCAGCTGTGCTTGGCCAGCAGCTGTCCCCGGGGGACTGGGGCTCTGTGCCCCAGACGTGTCCCACGGGCACCCACGGGACAGGCAGTGCTGGTTGCTCCGCAGGGGAGACGGACATGAAGGTGCACTGCTGTGTGGCCGCCTACATCTCCGACTACGCCTTCCTGGGCACGGCCCTGCTCCCGCACCGGCAGTACCACATCAAGTTCATGGTGTCCCTCGACCATTCCATGTGGTTCCACGCACCCTTCCGAGCTGACCACTGGATGCTCTACGAGTGCGAGAGCCCCTGGGCTGGTGAGTCCTTCCTGTGCCAAGGGCAGCCCATCCCTGCAGCAGGCTGGGACACGGCAGGGGAAGGTGCTACTCTGGCACACGTTGCTTCTCCTTCTCACTTCTCCTGCCCTATCCATCCCGGGGGTGGTGGATGGACTCTGACAGCTCCTCTCTGCAGGCGGGTGCCGGGGCCTGGTGCAGGGACGGCTGTGGCGCAGGGACGGGGTCCTGGCTGTCACCTGTGCGCAAGAAGGAGTCATCAGGGTGGAACAGAGACAAAACCAGAGCAAGCTGTAGCTGAGGAGCCTCCACAAGCTGGGGCTCAAGCATGCCAAGAGAAGGACCCTGGCATCAAGACAGGACCTGGACAGCGGCAGGAAGGAGACCAGGCTGGATCCAGCCCAGTGGGGAGTCCGAGTGCCAGAGGTGTCTGCGATGGATGGTGACCCACAGAGCATCAGTGTGACCAACCGGCTGCTGCACAGCGTGTAACCACACGCTGCCATCAGCCACCCTTCACCCACCTTAAAATAAAGCCATTGGGTGAAGAGCTGGACTCTGTCCCTGGAGTTTGTCCCCTTGGATCTGTGACTGTGCTCGCCCAAGGGCGGGCAGCACTTGGGTTAATGGGGGGGCCAGCTCTGCCCCTGGCGCAGGCTGGGTCACAGGAGGGGAACCTGTGCCTCGTGTGCTGCTGTGGCACACGTTGCTTCCCTTTCTCACTTCTCCTGCCCTGCTCGTGCTCCGGTGCCTCAGTTGCTGCTTCTGCTTGCCCTTGGGCTCCTCCCCAGGGCTGGCCTCAGGCTTGGGCTCAGCTGGGAGCCAGGAAAATGGGATGAGGCAGCTCCCACATCCATGTGGAGGCTTGGGGCCTCCCACTGATGGTGCCCTGGGGGCATGGGGTGGAATAGACAGAGCAGGCACTTTGCTCTTCTTCCTGCCAAGACTTTATTTAATAAAGTCCTTTTTATTATATAAGTTTTATGGGAAGTTCCCGGCAAGAGCCCCAAACCCTGCCAGAAGCCTTCCCGTTCCCTTGTGCGCTGCCAGTACGTCCCAGCTAAAGTCCCAGCCACTCCAGGATCCCCCACAGAGGGGGAGTGGCTCCAGCAATGTCACTGTGGGTGGTGGACCTCCGTGAACCCCTGTGAGCACCCGGTCCCACCAGACAGACTAACCACAGAGAAAGTGCATTGAAGAGGCAGCTCCAGGCATGGGCCGTGCTGCCATGGGAATGTGGTGCTGCCCCCCTGCCACATCCCCACTCGTGGCATTGCCCTGCTCCCGGTCACCATGGGTGCGAGCCCCCGCAGCCCCTGCCCTCCTGCCCATGCAGGCACGGGCTGCTTCACTCCAGAGGCTCCTTGATCAGGCACTCCTTCAGGGAGGGCTGCTGCTGCAGGGGCAGCCCAGCCTCCCGCAGGTCCTGCAGCCGGGCCTCCGAGCGCCGCTTGTCCTTGCCCACCTTCCAGGCCAGGTGGACGTGGGCCTGCAGGAAGGGCCCCAGCAGCGGGTGGCTGCCCTGGGCCTCCAGCAGCTGCAGCGCCTGCTCACAGCAGCTGTGGGCCTCGCCGAGCTGGTCCAGCTCCTGGTGGCACACGGCCAGCCCAGCCAGCGTCAGGAGGAAGCGGCCGGAGCTGCAGACCCCCAGCCGGTCCTGCAGCCGGTAGGCGTTGGCCCAGGTGGCCAGGGCCTCGCGGTACATGCCGGTGCAGGTGAGGCGCTGCGCGGCCCGCAGGTCCGGCAGGAAGAAGAACTCGAGGAACTCAGGGGAGCGGCGGATCTCGTCGATGGAGTGCAGGTGGGACAGGAACTGCTCGAAGGCTCGGCTCCGCTTGGCGATGGTCTCGGCGGTGAAGTTCCGGCGCAGTCTCTTCCTGGGGAAGGCGATGCCGGCCATGTCGCAGCCGAAGCGGCAGCGCAGGCGGCGGTTCAGCTGCTCGAAGTCCGAGTAGCGCCGGGCGATGGTGGCGGGGGCCTTGTCAAACTGGCCGGTGCGGATCAGGTAGATGGTGTAGAGCTGCAGGGGAGCCGGGTGTCAGCCCTTGCCTCGGGCATGCTGCTCCTGGGGCCGGCAGAGCCGGGTGTGTGGCCACAGAAGGGCCGGGGGGGTTTGCCCGGGCAGGAGGGAGTGGGCTGGGCTGCCACAGCACCCACCAGTGATAGTTACCTGAGGCTCATCTGAGCCGCCAGCACCATCCAAGCAGCACGGGGAAAGAGAGAGAAATAAGCGCCAGCCCCTTGGGACCCCTGCCCCGGGGGAAATCCAAACCCACACCCACCCTGTGCCCGCCCAGCCATGCCGGGCTCACTCACCACGTACTTGGAGGAGCGCTCGCTGACCACGCTGGCGCTGGTGACCTCGAAGAGCAGCCGCTGCGGTGCCAGGCTGCCCCGCGACCTCCGCCACAGCTCCTGCAGCTGCCGGGTCAGCAGGCTGCCGCCGGGGCGCTCCGCCGCGGGGCCCCACTCTGTGCCGGGAGAGGGGTGTCACTGCCCAGCGTGGGGACAGGGCTCTGCCAGCCCCCCGACACCTCCGGGCTGCCCGGAGTGCAGCCCCGGGGTGCTGCTGCCCTGGGGAAGCGGGGTCACCCCAGTCCCCCCAGCTCACCGCCCCAGCACTCGCCTCCGTCCTCTGCGCCTGCTGCCGCCCCCTGCGCCTGCGGCGGCTCCTCCAGCTCGTCGCTAGCTCCGTCCTCCTCCTCCTCCTCCTCCTCGTCCTCGTGGCTGGTGAAGCTCAGGGTGCCGCTGAGGCGCGTCGACAGCCCCTCGGTGTCGTCCTCCAGCTCCGAGCTCTCCGGGCAGTCCTCGGCCTCGCCGCCGCCTCCCGCCGGCTCCTCCCGGCCGCCCTCGCCGGCCAGCGCGTGCCGCAGCCGGTGCAGGATGCGGGCGGCCATCGCTGCCCGGGGGTCCGGGCCGACTCCCCGACACGGCGGGGCGGGGGGCTGCCCACCGCGGCACGGCCCCGCGCGGGGACAGCCCGGCCCCGGGGCACCCCGCGCTGCTGCCCCCGCCCCGCTCCCTTCGCGCTGCCCCGGACCGGGCCGGGCCGAGCCAGGCGGTGCCGAGCGATGGCTGCTCCGCCACGGCTCGTCCCGGGATCCTCCCTGCGCGGCTCCGCCTCCGCCGGGAACCCGGATCGGGGTGGCGGAGCCGGCACCGCCCGGCACGGCCGGGATCGGGATCGGCCCCTGCGGCACCGCCCGGCACGGTCGGGATAGGCCACTCTGGCATCTCTTGGCACGATCGGGTCAGAGACAGGGCTCAGCCCGGCGCTGCCCGCAGCCCCTGCCCGCTGCCGCAGCCGGTGCTGCCGGGTGTCCGCGATGTCCCGGTCGGACCGAGCCCCTGGTACCCGCCCTGGGGCCACAGGAGCCCGCACTGAGGTGCCCATCACTGTGGGATCCCAGGGTCTTGATACCCCATATCCTGGTACCCCAGTAGCCTGGCACCCCAGTATCCTGACATCCTGGTACCCCAACGCCCGTGTACCCTGGTACTCCAGACGCAGGCTCCCGATTCCCCTGGGCTGCTGCCCAGTCGGACATCCCCCCGGCCACCCTGGCACCCGCCACCCTGGCCCCAGGCAGCCTCGCCACGCGCCCTGTGGTCAGGCTTCACCCTCGGTGCTCGTCCGGCCTTTTTTAGTGCCCGCCCGCTCACTCCTCACCACTTCCTTGGGAATGTCTATTAATATCGAGGAAGCAGCCCAGCTGCTGCCATCACTCTGCCCTGCTTGCCCGCTGTGCCCTGCTCCAGCACCCCGGGACCCCTGCGCTCCCCTGGGCAAGGTGGAATGCGCGGGGGGCTCGGCTTGTGCAGTACCCAGGTCTCACCCAAGGAATGGGGTTCCCAGCAAAACCACAAGCCACAGAACCCCTGTGTGTCCCTGTCACTGGGAGCTTATGGGACAGGAATCTGTCAGCCTGACCCCACTGCAGCCCTGAGGCTCGGAGCACCGCAGGGCACGGGCCACTTGGCTAGTGTGTCCCCAGGGCCACCAGCCCCAGCCGGCCCTGGCAGCGGTGGCTGGCACGGGATGCACGTGTGGGGGCAGAGCCTTCGAGGAGGCACTGGGCATAATTCCCACTCCCCTGAAGCACGGAAAGACAGAGCCTTTTCCGGACCCAGGTGCCAATGCGCTGGAGACCCCAAACCACAGGGCTTATTTTCCAAAATCCTCCAGGGACTTTGTGCCCCAGGTCCCACTGGGGATCCTTTCCTCACCTGGGGCAGGGGGTTACAGCATGGCTCTGCCTTGGGTCCCCAGAGCAGTAAATGGGGGTGCAGGAGAGGGATGCTGTTCCAAGGAAGCCCAGGTTCAGGCTGGGAGCCTGTCCCAGGCAGGGTTGCAGGTCTGGGGGGGCACTGGGTGATGGTTTGTGCCCCCCCGGGTGCAGGGGGGACCCTGACCCCCTTGCCTGGGGGATGCTGACAGCTCCAGGGCTATTTTTAACCCCCTCATTGCTGAGTTGCCCCGGGCAGGAGGTGCTATGGGGGTGGGCAGAGCCGCTCTCCTGCCACAGCTCCAGTGTCCCTCCTGGAGGGCTTGAATTTCCATCCCAGCCTCAGCACCACGTTAATCCCAGCCCTTGGCCAATAAAGCTTTGGCTAAATTAGGTAAAGGCGCCAGTAGCCAGTGAGCAGAGCCGGGTGCTGCCAGGTGCTGATAGGCTGGGAGGGCCGAGGGGCAGCAGCTGGGGGCACAGCCCACAGAGGGGACGCTACAAATTGGGGTGCCAGGGATACCTCGGTGCTTCTGGGAGTTCCTGCTGCAGGAGCCGGCGATTCTCTGGGGGTGGGAAGCACAGTAAATTCCCACGATGGTAAGAGCCCCTGTGTGTTGTGTGCTTTGTGCTGTGTGCCAGGATGAGACCTGATCGGGCAGGAGGCATCAGGCACCGCCTGCTTCAGGGGATCTGGGCTGTGGAGGTGCCTCTGTGAAGGGCAGCGGGGAGAGAGTCCCCAGGGCTGGGCTGACCGTGGCGGTGAGGGCAGGAAGGCGTTGGGGAGGTGCAGGGTCCCCCCAGGACATGCCTGGGGGACACCGTGTGGCTGCCCAGGGTGTGCGGGTTCCCGGGGACTCAGTCCTGTCCGGAGCTCAGGGCTGTGCAGGGGTGGCAGTGGGTGGCTGAAAGCCGAGCGCTGGGTCATACGACACGGTGTCACCGACACGGTGTCACCGCCGGCTCCACGGCCAGCCTGCGCCTCCAGGAGAAACTCGATCAGGGCCGACAGGTGCCGCGGCTCCAGCTCCGATGAGCCCTACAAGGGGAGCTGAGGAGATCCCAAAAATAGCGCTGCGTGCCTAGGATGCCGAGGCTGCACAACAGCGACCATGGCCCCTACACCATGGAGCCCCCCACATGGTGGGGGACCTGGGCAGGCGGCTCCCTGCAGCCCGCCATGCTCATGGATACCCAGGAGGCACTGTAACCGTGGGGATTGCTGAGGGCTGTGGCTCGGCCAGCACAGCATCATCCTGCAGCAGGGCAAGGGCTCTCCCCACAGCCCCACGCTGTCAGGCCACGCTGTGCAAGGGGGCTCTGGCCTGATGACCCGATGGGGTGGCCACAATGTCCCCTTCTCCTTTGTCTCACAGACGGACCAGCAGGCAGAAGCCCGCGCCTTCCTCAGCGAGGAGATGATTGCGGGTGAGCGCAGGGGCAGTGGGGAGAGGGCCCAGACACGGCCATGGTGTGCGGCCTGGCTCTGCCCCACTGCCTGGCCCTGACCTCCCTCTCCACAGAGTTCAAAGCCGCCTTTGACATGTTTGATGCTGATGGCGGTGGAGACATCAGCACCAAGGAGTTGGGGACAGTGATGAGGATGCTGGGCCAGAACCCCACCAAAGAAGAGTTGGATGCCATCATTGAAGAGGTGGACGAGGATGGTGAGCAGCCCTTGGTGGTGGGTGGCAGGGGTGAGCACTGAGCACTGGCTGGGCAGCCTGACCTGTGCTTGGCTCCCTCCCTGCAGGCAGCGGTACCATCGACTTCGAGGAGTTCTTGGTGATGATGGTGCGCCAGATGAAAGAGGATGCCAAGGGCAAGTCTGAGGAGGAGTTGGCCAACTGCTTCCGCATCTTCGACCGGTGAGTGGGGGGGTGAAGTGGCCGGTCCTGCCTGCAGAAGTGAGCAAGGTCACATCTCACCCTCTCCCTCCTTCAGGAATGCAGATGGGTTCATTGACATTGAGGAGCTGGGTGAGATCCTGAGGGCCACCGGGGAGCCCGTCACCGATGAGGACATAGAGGACATGATGAAGGACTCAGACAAGAACAACGACGGCCGCATCGACTTTGATGGTGAGCAGCAGCCCTGGCCGGGCGCCTGTGCTGTGCACTGGGGCAGGGCTGTGGGCTGAGGCTGCCCCTCTCTTGCAGAGTTCCTGAAGATGATGGAGGGTGTGCAGTAAGGGACCAGACATTCCTCAGGCCAGCTGCTGCACCCAGCCCCGCTCCCCCCCTGCCCAGGGAGCAGCAGCTCCACAGCACCTGGCCCCCGGCACCGGCTGGGACCCTGCTCCGTGCCAGGGCCTCGGTCTCATCCCACCGCCGGCGGCTGAGCTTTTCCTCCCATCTGTCACCTGTGGCTTTGGTTCAAGCCTCAATAAAAGAGGAAAGGCTTGAGTTGCTGGTGCAGAACTTCACTAGGGGTGCATGGGGACAGGGCTGTGGCACTGCATCCCTGCCCTGCTCCCCAGGGAGGGGAACATGCCTGGCTGGTGCCCTATGCCCTGTGGGCAAGCTCATACCAAAGGCTGTGCCAGAGGGGCAGCAGAGGGCTGTGGTTCCCACGGGCTCTTGGGCAGGTGCCAGCACTGAGCTCAGAGTTTCCGTTCAGAGCAGCTGGTTCACACGCCAGCGGGTGAGGGAGCACAGCCCCAGCCCCAAGGGACCTTCTCTGGGGACGGACTGTGGGACCACAGGGGTTCTAGGGAGCCACTACCACCTGCCCCACTGGGACCCGCATCTCCCACCCTAAGGACTGGCTTACAAGGTGGAGGGGCAGTACCAGCCCCCTCTCTGCAGGGTCAAGGGGACAGTGGAGTTCTCTGCATCTGGACAGGCTGTGCCAGCCTGCTGGACAGCACAGCTCCCTGGGGACACACCGGGGCGGAGCACAGCAGGGAGGGGATGAGGGGAACACAGTCCCCAGCTAGCGTGGGTGGGACCGTGGGACCATCAGCAGTGCAGCTGGCAGGACACAGCTCAGAGCCAGCGCAGCGCTGTGGCACAGGGAAACTAAAACCCTAGGAGGGCCAGAGACCACCCTGGGCATCCTGACCCTGCCCTGTTCTCACGGGGAGCGATGGCACCAGGCAGAAGGGACGGGTGTCGCGGGTGGGGGGCGGTCGGGACATGTGCAGCAGCACAGGCTGCACTCTGCAAGGCCACAGCCGGACACCGGCAGCTGGTGCTGCAGCTTGGGGGCAGCGCTGACAGCCCTCGGCTGCGCGAGGAGCGGCGCAGGAGGAGCACAGAGGCTCGTGAGCTCAGCACTGGTAAGGAGGGGGCTGCTACACGGGGCAGCAGGCACAGAGCCCCCCTGGATGCCCCCCTAGGGCCACAGAGGGGCTCTAGTGCTGCCGTGGCTTAGTGTCCCCTGTCGGGCAGGGCTGCGGCGGGTGCTGCTGGCAGGGGTGAGGCAGGCACCAGCGAGCCCCCGGGAGCGGCGGGAGCTGGAGCGGCTGTGGGTGCTCTTCCTCTCAGCTCTGGAGCTCTTCCTGCAGGACCTACGCAGAGCCCACCACCTCTGTCAGCTGTTCTCCATGCAAGAGGGTGGCGTGGCCCCGCTGCGCACTGGGATGGGGGGCTGGGGGCTGCCTGGGCGGCGAGGGGGGGGTCCCACGCTGCCCCCAGCTGCCCAGGGCTTAGAGGAAGAGATCGAGCAGGTGAGGGCCATGCTGGCAGAGATGGAGAGCGGAGCCAACATTCCACCATGGACGGTGGAAGCCACGGAGACCACGCAGCCAGCAGGGATAGGTGGCACTGCAGCCAGGGGGGCTTGGGCAGGGCCCTGCACTGGGCACTGCTGTGGGGTGCTCTGAAGGGGAGGCCAGGAAGCAGCAAAGCTGGCACCCACTGTCACAGAGCTGGGTACAGGGTTAGGGTTAGTCCCCAGCCCCCTGTCGGTGCATTGCTGGGGGCTGCCCCTACCCTGCAGAGGGAATGGGACCACTCCGGGCTCCCCAAATGTTGATAGAGCCCATTACTTGATGGGGGGTCACATCCCTGCTCACACTTGCAGAACCCCCTGCAGAAGTCATAAATGTGCATTTATTTATACATTAACCGTGGCTCGGACTGCAACATTAATTTAAAAACAGCCTATGATACAGAACGCGGGGGGCGCTGGGCAGGGGTGGGGGGGATGGTGGGAGGGTGGTGGTGATGGTCAGGTCTCCTGGCCCTTGGCCTGCTTGTTGTACGTCTCCCTCACGTACTTCTTGTAGGCTGAGAAGAGAGGGGGCACATGGTGATGAGGGTCCCGGGGCAGCTGCCAGGGCTGGACAGGCAGTGGGACACAGCAGGGCTGGGGGCTGTGCTTGCTGCCCATCCCAGTGGGGAAGGGGTAGGGAGGTTCTGTCCCAGGCACTCACCGACTTGGTTCTTCCAGAGCTCGGCTGCGTGTGTGTTCAGGGGGCTCTCGATGTTCGGCTCTGAAAACAGGGGCTGGGTCAGCCGGTGGGGTGACTCGGACACCTCAGAGCCCTGCTGTGGGCAGGGGATCCCCACCCCCACCATCACCCCAGGGCAGTGCAGTTGTGGGACCCACCTGCCAGCAGGCTCTGGACAGAGAGCAGGATGGTGCGGACGTCGTAGAGGGCCGACCACTTTTCCTTGAGGATGTCGAGGCAGATGTTGCCCTGGGTGTCGACGTTGGGGTGGTAGCAGGGGGTCAGGAACCGCACGGTGGGCGCCGTGTAGGGGTACCCGCTGGGGAACTCCAGCGACAGCTTGTACCGCAGCTCCTCGTAAGGCTGCGGATGGGAGTGACAGGGGCAGGAATCAGGGGGGTGGGGGGGGAAGACTCGGGGGAAAAAGTTGCACAGGGGGAGCAGAGGACTGGGACCATCCTCATCTAAAAGGAGGAGGGTGGAATGGGGTCAGCCTTCCCCCCCAGCCCGGGATCCCGCCTCTCACCGTGCCGGCGGCGCCGTCAATGGTTCCAATCCACTTGAACAAGTTGTCGGACTCGGGGAAGGCGGAAATGCCTTTGTCACCGGACATCTGCGGGGCAGCACGTCAGGGCGGCCCGGGACAGCTCGAGACCCTCCCGCCCCGGCATCCCCAAACCCCGACTCGGCTCCAGGACCCTCTGCGACCCCACTCACCATCAGCGCCATCAGCTCCTGCTGCAGCCTGCGGAGGAGGGAAGAGCACGTTACCGGCCGGCCCGGCGGGGCAGCCCCCGCCCGCAGCCCCGGTTCCCATCCCCGCTCACCTCTTCCCCACCGCGCCGCGGGCCGGCGTGGCTCCCGTTTCGGCCGCTTTGCGAGCGGCTGCGCTGGACACGGCGGCGGGGTCGGCGTTCTGCGAGGCCATGGCGGCTCCGGGGGCACCGACGGGCGCACCCGCCTCCTCCGCCGCTGGGTTACGAGCTGGACGCGGCTCCCCCTCCCGGGCGGCGCCGCACCGGGGTCTGCCCGCTCCCTCCTTCCTGCGCTCGGGGCAGGACTCGGGCCCCGCTGCGGCTCTCCCGGTGCCGAGCGGTGGCGCGGGTTCTTCCAGTGGAACTCACCGGTGCGGCGGCGCTCGGGGCGGTGCAGAACGCTCTGCGGACACCCCGGTGCAGCAGCAGCGGCTCGGCCCCAGTCCCGGTCCGGTCCGATCCGATCTGATCCGTCCCCGGCCCGATCGTCCCGCACGGCCCCGCCCGCTCCGCGCCCCGTTTGAATGTGTCCGCGTGCGGCCGCCCCGCCAATCAGCGCGCAGCCCCGTTCGAGCCGCCCAATCACCGCCCGCCGGCGATGCGGCTCCCACGGTAACGGCCGGCGGCTGCTGATTGGCCGCCGGGTCCGACGCACCGCGCCGTGATTGGCCACTGCCCGCCGAGGGATGGGCCGCGCGTCCCGTAGACCCTTAAAGGGCCAGACGCCCCTCCCCGGTGCGCAGGAGGCGGTGAGGTGGGTGCGAAGCGGATTTATTGGGAAGGTGGGGAAAAAGATGTGCTCGAGGGGTGCGAGGCCTCAGGGCTCGGGGGGGTCCTCGGGGGGCGGCGCGTCCCCCCCGCGGCGAAGCGTCTCCATGTGTTTCTGCATCTTCTCCGTCATCCAGGCCGGCGGGATGAAGGGCTTCAGCTCCTCCAGCCGCAGGTCCACCGAGTCCCTTGGGAGGGAAGGGGGTGAGGCAGAGGGAACCTAAACCCACCATGGACCCCAACCAGTACCAAGCCCAAACCCACCATGGACCCTGGCATCCACTATGGACCAACCACAACCAGTACTGTGCCCAAACCTACCACAGATCCCCAAACAGCACCAAGCCCACCAACCCTTGACATCAAGCCACCCAGCTGGCATGGAACACGGTTCATCCAGCACATGGCTCCCATGCAGTAGGGGAGGGATGGTGGGGGCCCCCAGGGAAGGAGCCCCAGGCACAGCAGCATCTCTGCTTTGGTCCTCACCTGTAATCCTCACTGGCAGCCAAATCCCGAATGTCCTCTTCGATGAGGAGATAAGCCTGTGGCACAAGGTGGGGGACACCTCAGGGCACCCGCGAGGGGTGGCTGAGGCAGCACCTCCCCCTTCCCACCTGGCCAGCGCTGTCTGATCCAGCTGTGCCCCCCAGGGGCAGGGGATGGACCCCGGGGGCAGCTGTGCCCCCGTGCCCTGCCTGACCTCGTGCCGCAGCCGCCTGTGCCGCGGCTCCTCTGCCCGTGCTGGCCCTGCGGCGGGCCCTGCGCCCGGCCGTACTCACCATCTTGCCCCCAGTGGCCCTCATGTGCTGCTGCTCTGCCAGCCAGTGCTTATCCTGCGGGTCGGCCGCGTACTGCAATAAAGCAGCGAGGGCCGAGCTGAGCACGGGCTGCAGACCCTGGGCTCAGGCCCCCCGTCCTGCGGGACGCTGTGCCCCCCACGCGCTGCCCGCCGGGGGAGCGCTCGGCTCCGCTCCGCCTGCCCCGCTCCAGCCTCAGCCCCGGCTCCGGCAAAACCCGCCGCGTCGGCTCCCGTTCCGCGTGCTAGCCAAGACCTTGGGAATGTGATCCGAGATAACAAAAAACGAGGGGCGAGGGGGAGGGAGTGAACGAGTGAGCCAGAGCGCGCGCGCCCCCCGTTCCCATGGGAAACTGTCCAGCCACGGCGTCTGACCTTAAAGAGGTGGGGATGCTTGATGTAGAGCCGCCCTCTTGTTCCTCCCATCCCGAGAGCTCTGCAAGAGGAAGACGAGGGGTGTCAGGGCTGCTGGGAGGGCGGCTGCAGTGGCATGGGGACACCCCTCTCCTCCCCAAGCCCTTCCTACTGCTTTGGAGGCAGAGAAGCGAAGTGACGGGAGGAGTGCCACGGGCTCCTGCCTGGGGACACCACCCTCCATCGACAGGGCCGTTCCTTACTTGTTTGCTCGAGATCCCAGCACAAAGGTTGTGGTTTCAGTCAGTCGGGATGGATCCCACTACAGAGCAATTGGAAAAGGGGCAGCATTAGAAATGAAGCTGGTGCCGGCCACGCTCCATGAGCCTCAGCTCTCGGACAGGGAACCTCAGAGCTGCTCCTGGCCTGGGAGGTAGGGAGCTGGCCACAGACCTCCAGCCTTCCGCAGGGCAGAGACGTTACATTCCATTCTGGGCTGATCTAAGCAGTTTCCCTTGTGGGAAACACTTGTGGGATTCTCCTGGCTACTCCTGCTCTCCCCAGGTCTCCCTCAGCAGCACCACACTGCACAGCTACAGGCTACGGTGCCTGGGGAGACCAGCAAAGGCCTCCGGGCACTTCGCTCCTCGTCTTGCCCCCTCCCACCACCCCAGGGCCCTGTCGGGGCAGAGCACAGCCTGCATTGTCCTGTGCTCCTGCAGCTGCAGGCAGGAGCAAAGGGGAGGAGAGGGGGAGCCCAGCAGCGTTGGCCAGCCAATACCTTTGGTCCATCCCTTCTCACAGGCTCAGAGACTTTGAGCTTCCACCTGAGGGGAAGAAAAATGGGGTAAGAACGAGGCCCTGCAGAACCAGCACAGTCACCACCAGCAGCAGGGAGTGAGCCCCAGCCCCTCCAGATCCACCCGTGTTCACACCTTCCATCCCCCCAGTGCCCAGCTCTGGACCCTCAGCTCTGATGCACGTTCTCCTCTCCTGTCTGCCCAGATCCCACCCCTCCTGTGCCTCACTGCTCGCTCTGAATGGTCCATCTGGATCTTTTCACCCTTTTGGACCTCTTTAAAACCTTCTTGAAGGTCTTTGCCTTCTGGAGGGCCGCACCTCAATCTAAGGCCCCTCCCTGCCTCCAGAACTCCCATCGCCTCTCCGCAGGAGGGAAGGAGATTATGGGGTTTCTGTGCCTCCCCCATTTGGGCAGCCTCATTCCCCCTGCCCTCCCCGAACAGGGGCTCTAGCTCAGGACTGGTACTCACGCTGCCATGCCCGAGACCCCGCGGTCGTTCGACAGGCTCTGTCCTGGAGGCCGCCCCTTTCTCTGCATGGAAGAAACCCTTCTGTGACTCGGCTGTGCTGGCTCAGGGAACCCTCTCAGTGACCCTCCCCATCCCAGAGAAGCTGCTCCTTTTGTCACAGGCACAGAGCAAGCACTTCCCAGGCCTCGCAAACGCTGCCTGTGCATCTGCACGCAGTCATACGGTGGGAATGGCCAGGAAGGAGGACCAGACTTGCCGAAACATAAAATCCCTCGTGCAGAAAACCCTCACACCTTTTTGGGAACGGGACTCCCTCGACGGCTCAGCTCCTCATCCATCTGTCGGGCACGCTGGAAGAGGAAGGGCAGTGGGATGAGAAGGGCCCTTCTCCCCTCCTGGTCGTGTGGGGCCTCCTGCATCCCAAAGGCCAGGTAAATGCTGACCCCCTCTCCTCTGCAGGTAAACACTGATCCCAGCCCATGATGGTGAGCAGCACCACACCATAAGCAGCACCTGCACCTGAGCTTCTCCTTGCCCTGCACTCCCTCACAGCCCAACATCCCCTGCTCTGCCTCTGAATTGCTGTGCTGGAGAACAAGAAGAGGCAGAGAAAAAAAGGGATTCCAACCCTTCTCTTCCTCCCAGCTCTTACAAGTCATTTAAGCCTCCGGGTACAATCACAAAGTTTACCTTCGTCCCTGCCTGCTCATGGGGCAACCTGGGAACCACTTTTTTGCCGTCGGAGAACAGCAGTTTGGCCTGCAAGAAGAGAAAGAAGGTTCCAGGGATTCTGGGCTCGGAGAGGGCCCCACCAGCAACCCCCATCTCCATGTATCTGCCTGAAAGCCCTGCACCAGCTCTGCTTTTGGAGCGCTATTAGGCCGTGTTCCACAGATGGCCAGATGCAAAAGCACAATCTGAGCATCATAACTCTGGTCAACTGGCAAAAGAGCAAGTTGTGAAAGGAAAAAAATCCTCCCTCGCACCACCAGGACCCTCTGATGGGTGCTGGGGGCTGGTCTCTGCGGGATGTCTAGCTGTGTGCCATGTTCTGACAGCAGCAGTGAAAAGTGGCAGCATGAGCTGCCCAGCCCAGACCACTCCCCTCTTCCCAGTGAGAATGAATCCCAGCACAGCAGCCACACAAGGGCTGTGGATGTCCCCTCACAGTGATAGCAAAGCTGTTGAGAAGGACACATCCTGGTCAGGCTGCTCTGCCCAAGGAACCCCTTGCCAGCACCCACCTGCTCCAGGCAGCTCCGACAGGTCTCCTGGATGAGCTGCTCTGGGTCCACCTCCTCCCCAACATTATCACGCACGTTGATTGCTGCTGTCTGGAAAAACTGGAGAGGAGAAGGCAGGAGAGGGTGAGAGCCTGTGCAGCCAGGCAGTGTTGGGGCAGGCACAGGGCCCAGCTCCGCACAGACTGGTGCGACAGCCTCGGTGACAGCCCAGGTGTCCCCGCACACCTTCATGTCCCCACCACCGTGCCCTGCACTCACCTTCATGTACTTGTTGAAGACGCCCCGGATCTCCTCGTTGATGCTGGGCTGCAGCACGGCGCGCAGCAGGTCCATGGACACGCTCGGGTCCGTGAAGCTGCGGGTGGAGGGGTCAGGCGGGGGGCGCAGGAACCCCCTGCCCCATCCCGCTCTAACCCAGATCCTCCCCCCGGCCCGGTGCCCGGCCCAGTCCCGCTGTCCCACCCTTCCCCTCGCCCCGCCGCCTGCCCTGCCCGCCCACCCCGCCCTACCTGGTGGTCATCTGGGAGCGCCGCCCGCGCCGCTGAACCTGCCGGTGCTTGATCATGATGTTCCAGGGGCTCTGCGGGACACACGCGTCAGCCGCGGCACCGCCGCCCCCCGGCCCGGCCCGGCCCGGCCCGGCCCGGCCCCCGCCTCACCGTGCTGACCACCTGCTCCTCCGCATCGCCAGGGCCCTCCTCGCCCGGCGGCCCCGGCTGCTGCTCCGCGTCGCGGGCGGCGCCCATGGCCCCGCTCCCGGCTGCGGCTGCGAGCGCCGGATGCGCGGGGATCCCGCGCTACATCATCGGGCCCCGACGGATGTGACGGCGCTGCCCCGGCAACGGGGCCGCTCCCAGCTCCCAATCCTCGTTTCCCGAAGCCCTAAACTCACCCTGTCCCACCCTGAACAGGACCTGTGGAGCTGGTGGAGCTGGTCGCGCGTGGCCCCTGCCCCTGAGAGCCGAGTACTTGAAGCTGCAGGAGAGTGAATGCTGCTCCTTCCATGATCTTTGTGCTCCTTG